AAACTCACTCACATGTGGTCTTATCTAGTCCTATGGCTTTAATATCATCTAAATGCTGAAAATTTCCAAATTTGTGTCTCCAGCAAAACTCTCTCCTCTGATTTCCAGACTCATATATATAACTGCTCAATCAATGTCTCCACCTGGGTGTCCATGGATATCTCAAACTTCACACATTCAAAGCAAAATTTGTTCCTCCCTCAGTCAACCCCATTTCAGTAAATGGCCAAACCTTCTTCAGTTGCTGAGGCCAAAAAGCCTTAATCATTACAGACTCTTCTCTGCCATACACACACTCCATTTCCAGTCCTATGGCAAATCCTATTGGCCATATCTCTAAAAACACATCTATCAATAACTCTGCTCTTTTTCTGTGTACATTGCTACCACCCTGGTCTGAGCTAGGATGACCTCTTTTTGGATTCCTGCAATGGTCTGCTAGTGGGTCTCCCTACTTCTGTCTTGCTTGTGTGAAGTACTTCCCACTCAGCAAAGTGATCAAAGTTAGTCAAAGTCAGATCAAAACTTTCTGCTCAAAGATGGCTTACCTCAGTTGGAATAAAATCGAAAGTCTTTATCATGGCTTACAAAGCACACGTGACCTGGGCCCCTGCTTTCTCTCTGATTTCGTCTCCTCCTCCCTACCCGACACACTAGTTCTGGCTCATCCCTGGCACATCCCTACCTCAGGACTCTTGGATTTGCTATTTCCTCTGCCTGGAACCCAGGAAATTCCGCAGTCCATGCTCTCATTTCATTCAGGTCTCCATTCAGATTTCATTTTATCAAAACATCCTTCCCTGTTAACACAGCATCTGCCTTCTCTCCTCTCTGCCCCCTCAACTACACTAGTTTATTTTTTTTAAGCACCTATCACAACATGACGTACTATGCTTATTTATTTGTGTATTGTCTGTCTTCCACACGAGTGTAAGCGCTATGCCATGAAAGCAGAACTTTGGCTATCTTTGTTTTCTGCTGTGTCCCCAGAGGTTCTGGCATCTGGTAAGGGCTCATTACAAAGTTAATGAATGAAGGAATGAACAAATACTCATGTGAACAGTTATTCAGAGTGGTCAGGAGCAGAAAATGAGCACTTTACAGTTTGAGGGTTTTTTTTTTTTTTGGTATTAGTTTGCATAAACTGAAGACTGAGATTGTAATTGAGGGAGGTTTTCTCCTTCGTGTGTTCTCAGTGTAAACAATGGGATGTAGTTGAAAATGGTGACTTGGTGGTGAACGTGTTTTTTGTTCCAAATTCCATATTCTAGTCACAGAAGTTGTCCACTTGTTTCAGTCATGGAAATGAAGGTCATGAGTCCAGATTTTGCCCTTTATTTCCCATCCTTAGGAAGCCAGTAGTACTGCATTTGCTTACTACATTTTACTTGAAATTGAATTTTTTTTCTCTATTTAAAAATGCCTGATGCATTTTTTCTTTAAAGTCTGACCCAACCAGATCAGTTTCAAACCCTTTTTGAGTTCAGTTTCTTTCAGAGATGCTATTTTTCTGTCCAGGAATTTGAATTTTGTTTTCCCCAGAAACTTCTCTTTATGAACAGTGCCTTGTAGGTAAATTAAGCCAGTGAAACCTCGAGGGTATAATTTACAAACCCATCTAGTCATCACACCTTCTACAAGAGTGGACTCTGGACTCAGCATCAGATGAGCAGGCACACTAGTCCCAGTGCCTTGTCTACTCTCTTTTGTGGCCCTGGAACACTCGGCCTTCTCTATTTCAGGGCTTCATCTGCAAGAGAGGATAATAGCATTTGTCTCGCAACTGTGATCTTAGGAGGGTCAAATGTGATGACACCAGAGAAGCTGCTTTCAAACATGTAAAGTATTGAGTTAGTCAAGAGTGTCTTGGGTTCTACTCATAGAAACAGGTAACAAAATAGCTTGGAGCAAAATGGGGCAATTGTTTTACAAACACAGGGCTGTCCCATAGAACTGAAGTCCAGGGGGGTGGACCTCCTGAGCTGCAGGATCCAGAAACTGGGGAGTTTGGGGATGCTAAGCATTATCTGTCTTTCTATAGCCTGTGGTCTCTCTTCCCTGCCCCTCTTTGCATGTCCTTTTCTTTCTTCTGACACTGCAGACAATCTTTATCTTCATCTCCATCCTACATGGGCCAAAGACAGCTTTCTTAAAACTGCTCTTTCAATTCTAAATCTACATTGCCTTATTAATCTCTAACTTACAATTTACTAACTGAAGGTTCTGAGATCTGGTTCCAAATTTTCAGGAGAGAGAATTTGGCCAAGTTCAGGTCAGACAGATACCTCGTCTCCCCTCCTCTGATGGTCACCTTCAGGAAGGGAACAGGAACAATGTCATAAACTGCTGTCCCTCAGCAGAAGAGCTAAGGGAGCAGGCTCTGGGAAGGGAGTGCGGGACAGTGAAGAAACAATGTTACACAGTTCAAGTGTGATGAAAAATACTGAGAATATCCTCCATGCAACCTTATTCCCGTATCTTTGAAGTCTTTAACCTACTCAGGATCTGACCTGGCCATGTGATTATTGGCACGTTTGTAAATATGGACGGGTCTCAGAGAACCCCACCAACCATGGCCTCCCTTCACGTTATGTGTCAGATTCATGTCTCCAATATTGTCTCCACTGCCTCTTATTCTTTCTTTTCTTGGGGATCCAATTAATTTCAGTGCACATACTTAACTACATCAAGCCAAATTCTTCATCTTCCCTGTTCCCAAGTTTTCCCCTCTTTATAAAATATTATGACAGATGGACCCAAAATATAATGGTTCAACAAAATGGAAATTTATTTTTTCTCTCAAGTCAAATCAGGAACTCAGGTTAATGGTGGCTCTGTCATCTTCAGCATGTGGTTTCCAAGGTCGAAGTTCTAGTCACCTTTGCAGCCCATGAGAGGGGGGAAGTAGATGGGAGTGGGTCATATGATAGGGTTTATGCACTAGGCCTGGAAGACACATCATTTTTGCTTACATTCTGTTGGAAAATACCTATCATAAGGCCACATCTAACCACAGAGGAGGCTGGGGAATTTAGCAAAGCAGGCAGCTGTATGCCCAGTTATAACTCTGATGCTGAGGAAGAAAGTGAGGATGGAATCTGGTAGACAGCAAGCAGTCTCTGTTACATCCTCCCTCTGTGTTACCTCCCTTAATTAATGGCATTATTCTCTCAAATACCCATGCATGAGTCCATAAAATCATCCTCCATTTCTCTATCTTTATCCAGTCCCCTTATCTGTTCTAACTACCGAAGCAATCCCACATTCATTCCTTGCTTTCCATTCCCTCCTCCACACTACATCTTAAGGTCACTGTATCTCTTGCTTAAGCTACTGCAGTCAGCCTCCAGAATTACCTCCCTGTGTCAGCCTCTCCGGGCTCATCACACCCATTCTCTACTCTGCTGTCAGATGCCACTTCCAAACACAAAGATGGGATTGTCCCAGACAGCTTGGGGGCCCTTGACAGTTACCTCCACCCCCTGTCGAGGCTGTACACACCACATACAGAGCAGCTGCAGCTTTGCCTTTTAAGCTCAGCAGCTCCCAGCAAACTGCCTCCTGTTCTCTGTTCCAAACCCTCTTATCCTGGTCTTCTACCCTCTTGCCTCAAGCCTGTGCTCTGTGCAACAACTGGCTCCCTTTGGATTAACACCATGATGGGACTCTCTGCCCAGCTTTCATTTAGCTCTATCCCTGCCCACTGTGTCTCAGGGCCCAGGCTTGCTGTTGGTCGGGAGACAAGTTTGGACAGTGATTGTGTTCTTATCTTCACCAAAAGCTCCTTTGCTTACTGAATAAAACAGATTTTTTTTCTTCACATGCCATCCATGGCCTGCCACTGTCTAATACCCCCCCAGCCAGTTACCCGCCCCTGCCTGTACACCCAAATAATCTTGACACCTTTCTCATTCTTCAAGGTCTGACTCATGTCACCTCCTCGAAGGCATCCTCTTTCTCCCTCCTCTGTACTCTGTCTTTGTACCACGTCCTTCCATGTATTGCTGTCTGTCTCCACAGTTTTTGTGCACACGGTGGGCTCCCCATCTAGGATGTCTGCTCCCTAGAGGCGAGGATTGTGACTTAGTCACCCTCTCACTCCCCACACTGCTAAGAATATGGCCTTGGGGAACACCTTCCACGTGGTGAGATCACATCATTCCACTGCGTAAAACCTCCTCAGACCCCAGTGGCTTCCTGGTCGCCCAGTCAGTGGTAAACACCCTGCACTGGGCTCCATGGTCCTGTGGGAGCTGCTGTTCCCGCTGCTACTCTCCCCTCGCTCCTCACTGTTCCTTGAACACGTCAGACAAGACCTCTCTTCAGCATTTGAGTTTGCTCATCCCTTTATAGGGACAGCCTCCCCAGATAGCTGCCTGGTGGTTCTCCTACGTCCTCAGGGCGCCGCTCCAGGGCCACATTCTCAGTGAGGTCCTTCAGGACCACTCTGTTCACACGGGGACCTCGCAGCACTCTTTTTCCTCTCCTCTGCCTGTGGTTTCTCCAGACCATGCGTCACCTCCTGACACTGTACATATGTCACTTACGGAGGGCTGTGCTCATTTTCTGGCTCTTCTCCCCCTGACAGGCAGTGTGAGCTCCATCTGAGTTAAAATCTGTTTATTTACTTCTGTATCCCCAGAGCCTCACATATCAAAGGCACTCAATAAATATTTGTTAGATTGAACGCAAAGTGTCAGAAACAGGCGACCGCGAAATTTCCAAGCTCTAAAAATATGTCCGTTTAGGAGAATAGAGAACTCAACTGAAGGCTGCCTCACTACGAACGTCCTCGAGGAAGGATTAAAATTGTGTGCCTGTGGTGGGAGGGGCTACAGGGCAAGGAAACGTGCGCCTTCGCAGAAACGCTGGGGGCTGCCTGACTTCCCCCTGCGAGGACCGCACCTGGGAGACGAGCTTGCCCTGCCGCCCGCTGGGACCCTTGCCAACCACACAGGTGTTTTCTTTTAAGTTAGTTTGGTCTTTGCCTCTCTGCTGAGCTGGTGAAGGACACAAAAATCATGGGTGGCTTATGGGACATTTCTCAGCTCTAAGGAGAGAACTATCAGGAGTGAAAACGACAAAAGCAAAAATAAAAACATGACCCGGGACTAGACTCTGGGTCTTGGGTCAGCAGAACCCATTTTGGAGCAGTGCGAATGGAACATTCTGTCTTCTACCCAGGCTCCGCCTTTACGCTGTTTATTGGAAATTCTTTTGCCCGGCTCCGTCTTTTAAAGCCACCGCCTACTTTCCGCAGGAGGATGGCTCTCTGAGCTCCAAGTTCCCTCTTCCTCGGGGACTCCATAGTATTTTTTCACGCTTCGTCGCTACTACAGCGGACGCCTGCCTTCGCATTATTTGCCGTACCGGCCTCCGGTGCCTTGACTGTAAACAAAACGCTTTAGATCATAGCAAGGTCGGTGTAAGTACAGCCTTTCTGCTGGCAGCCAGACGTCTTAAGGTGGCGTGACTGTGACTCGTTTACTTTTCAAGATTAACAACGCGACAAAATGGTGGTCCTACATATTAGTTGAAGTATTCAGATACGGGATAGAAGAATTAATTTTTTTTACTTTTATGTAAGATATTAATTCCACGAATAAAATCAAACATTAGTGGCAAGGTGTAACACTCCATTTCCATGGATGTGGTAGCTTGTGTATTTGTGCATCTGAATTTATGCTTACTTATAATACAGAATTTAGGTGTAGTCTAGTGATTATGTAAAAATTTCAACAACAATTATCTAATTTCAAGAATGGGTATAAATTTTGATACTGACACCTACCCTAATTTTCCTGTCCCTCTTCCCCTCTTCTCTAAATCAGTAAATTAAGTGGGGCTTTAAATGTAGAAAAATAAAGATGCGACCTTTTACCTTGATCCCAGGTGAAATATTTTCTGTCAGTCAGATAAGTAGTTCTGACTTTGAAACAAGTCTTGGGCACTGCCTCCCTCACTGCTCTCTGGGTACCACACCTACCCTTCTAGAGCCTGCATTTTAGTCAGATTAGTGCAAGGTCATACTAAAGGCCAGTGAGAGCTGTATTTAAATATCAGAGACCACAGACCACATCAAGGAAGCATCTGCAGGCAGACCAGGGCATGAGAAGGAGCCATTTTGAATCCCTTGTAAGAGAGGAGGACCTGCAGGTTATAATACAGGCAAATCCAGAATCCAGACAAAACCCCCTACCATCAAGGAAAGGAACAGAAAATGAACTAGCTTTAGAGTCAGGAGACCTGCTTCTTCTAGTCTTGGCTTTGCTACCAATTAGATATGTGTCCCTGGACAGGAAACCTCTCCAAGTCTCAATTTCCTCAGTGGTGAAAAGAGAGGGTTGACCCACAGGGTTCCGAAGGTCCCGCCCAGCTCTCACAGTCTGTAGTGTACGAAGTGAGGCAGGCACACAAAGTGGACACACAATACGTGGTTAAGAAAACAAGTTAGAAGTCAACTCATCTGTAGCACAGATGCCTAAGAAAACATTGCTGTTGTTTACTATTAGAACTGGAGATTAGTTTCCAGTAAAATGTGTAACTTTGATCCAGGCCAAGATGGGGGGGGTGGAATAGGGGAAGACAGTTAAAGACCCTTTGAGCTCTGTCTCAGATAAAAGCCCTAAGCATCTTGTTTTAACTCACATCACCTTGCTCAAGATCATATTGATAGGTAAATTTCAAGCTGCAAAGGGGAGTAGAGAGATGCCCAAATAATAATTATCAGACGTGAGGACGCGGTTGTGGTGGTTTCTTAAATCACTTCACATTCTGGACTTTCCGATTACTTTCACTCTTCAACGACTTGTAGCCCTCTAAAAGCGTTCACTCGCATCTGAATGTTGTTCTGGGTGGACTGGAGAAGTGAGTCTGGTGGGAGAAAGGTGGAGGAAGGAAGGAGCTGTTGTATTTGGCGGCGGGACTCAGGTAGAGGAAACTGCTACAACCCGGGAAAGGATTGAAAAATACAAAAACGAGACAAGTTCCCACACGCAGCCTGTTAGTGGCCTTAACTGTGCTTGGGAAGCAAGAACCAGGGCCAGGGGTGTAACCTCGCTTTTTAAAACTAAATGTGTCTGAGATGGCTACAAAGTTTATTAGAGACTCGGGAGAACAGTGGAGTTTTTGATCTTGAAATCCTTTCTTATTTTTATTGAGGGAGCGCTGGGGTTCAGAATACATTACAAATGCTGCGTCTATTCCAAGCTAATTTATAGAAAGACGTCCTCGTTGGCTTTCCCCCTAAGCCCCGTGCCTCCCCTAGAATAGCACATACTTCTAGGTTAAAAGTGAGCTAACCACTGCGCACCCCCAGCTACTGGACCCAGGCAGAGGGGCTCCCCGCACCCCTCCCCCGCACCGCGAGCGGTTGGGGCCCCGGGGGAGAGCCCAGCTGGGGGCAGAGATCCCACCATCCGCCTCGCCCCCCAGCCTCCCACCCCCACCCACTCCCCCGCTCGGCAAATTCTGTGGGGAAAAACAAGATCGCCAGCGAGGCGCAGCACGAGCTGCCGGCAACCTTCGAGATCCTCTGGTCCAGCCCCTCCGTTTCCCGGGCGAGGAGCGGGCGGTCGGGGCTCCAGAGCAGCCGCGAGCCGGCCCGCGCAGCGCCGGGACCAGAACC